AGGGACCCCACGTGAATTTACCGAGACTTCGGGGAGTTCCGAACCGGCGACCAAATATAGCCGGGTAATGTAATACACGTCACATGGTCAGAAATAGCCTAAGAAGAGGGCCTAGCCGAGTCTGCACACGGCACTGAGCTGTCTCGCGCGCGCCGGCTTGTCCCGCCGTTTTCCGAAGCGGTGCGCCCGGTGTACACGCACCAGAAGCGATGGAAGAAAATACGTTTACCTCTTCGCGCTCGTTAAACCAGTTACCGTGAGAGAAAGGTGATACTCGGAACAGAAACGAGCGTCGTTAACACGTTGACTACCGCGAGAATTTCGAGCGTTTTGTGTTAGGGATAATTATTCTTTCATAAAAATGGCGAATGGTACTGTTTCCAATTTAAAGGCGAAGTGATAATCATAAAAGCTAAAAATGATTTTGTTATCAATCAATTTTGTTATCATAATTATTATACTAGTGTGTAAGATACTTATGTTACTAAATATTTTCATTCGACAACAGTTTCCTTATTGTAATCGTTTCCAAGCAATTTGGAAGCTCATCGGTGACCACCGCAGTCAACGTGTTAACAAATACGTGCACAGGGTGTTCCCGAAATCGTACTACCACATGATAATAGGAAGAAGCAGAAATGTGCGTCAAATATTACAAAATTAATAGAAAGAATCTGTATGCAGAAACAGAGTAAAACCTTGATGATTCCATTTAATTGGAAGAGTAATAATTAAGACGAATGAAGGCACAAGAAGATGTTTTTTGAGATGTATTTACAGAAGTCGATTGTATGTAATTGTAGGGTACAATTTAAGAATTCGAATTTAACCAGGGCAATGGAATTTAATTGGACGATCTAGATTGTGAAAAATAGCAACTCGATTAAGCTGATCTTTGATGACAGAAGCTGAATACGATTCGGACTCGAGATTCTACTACAAATCAGTAGAATGAAGTTCTTTTATAAAAGATTTTATTTCTGAGATAATCGACTTAGAAAGTTTATGAAGCACACGTGTACTGATATTGTTAAGTAGAAATAGCCGGTGATGTTTAACTAATATGTAATGTAGGCTTTATATTAATCTAAAGTAGACGATCAATGTGTAAGAATGATGTAATTGTAAGACAGAATAAAATAAAGTCGATATGAAATGGACACCTATGAATAGATCACTTTTATGTAATATTGCCTTTTAGACGTTCTGCACTTACAGAACTGTGAACTGTGTAGATATCAGTGAAAAGTTTTCAGAATAAGTTGCAAAATAATATTTAGTGTGTTTGAATCAGGTTTTTTATTGTTTTCCTAAATCCTTTTCTTAGCGACGCTGACTGTAATTTTCTATTGAAATATAATAAATTAGAAAATTACTTTTCAATAACTTCGAAGTTTCTTATTAAAAGATAAAAGCAATATTTATTAAAAAACCTATATACTCTTATTCATATTTCTAAATACTATTAATTAGACTTTAATAATTTAATCAATAAATAACAAAACAATTTATATAAAATAACAAACCCTCAGTTTAATACTAATTGAAGACATTTAATAGACTACAATTTCACAGCTCAATCCTAAGTAAACACAAATTTAATTACAATTATAAGTTCTGTTCGATATGTCGCAAAGAATGTTGTTAAAAGTTTTTAGTTTCCACGATTTTTCGACACAGGGCGCGCAGCGCATTTTATTGTTTCCTTTCCGAAAGATCTCGATATCCAGGGTCAGAAATAGTCACGGCTGCACCCGACTTCCGAGCAGGGGGGCGAACCCCGAGGTTTCCACGCGTTCTGTTATTTTAGCCGCAATAAATCTGCCAAGTGTTGCAGCGGGCCGGCTCGTTCCCTGTCTAGCACGACGTCTTATTGTTTGATCGATCGTAACGGTGATTAAGAAGTCTATTTCTGGTCGGCCGAAAACCGCGAGAAACTCGCGCTTTTATATTATTTTCGGGGTGACGAACGGCGACGCGAATTGTTTTACGAGACACGCAGCTGAGTCACCCGGCATCCCGGTTGGAAGTCGACGTTCGTTTTCGCAAGCGAACGACAGATTTACGAGACCGAGGACGTATTAAACGAAGTAATTCACTTCGCGAAGTCGCTGACCAATTAATGAATGACCCCCTTTTTCTCTGGGAAAGAATGCCTAGTCTATTTTCGCTTTCGATCGGTTGACAACTTGTTCGTTTCTTAGTATGAACTTTAGAAAGATTTTTTCGGAATTTCAGAAAGTATAATAAAAATATTTTCGATGATAATTTTACTTTATTTTCTAATGTAGTGTACCTATTTGAAAATAGTTTTTACAGTTTATTTAGTTTTAGTCAATGGAATAAAAGTATTTTTATTAATCGTTTTGCTTTACTTAAAACTATGGTACACTTGAAAGTAGTTTTTGATATTTTCGTGAACAGAATAGAAATATTTTTATTTGCAGTGTTGTATTTTAGAGATAGTATGTAAATGTAGCTAGGTAAAATCGTCAGCATCGCTAGAAAACGCGAAAAGTGGAAGAAATATGAAACTCCACTAATATATTACTTGTGGTAAATACTAAGGATTTCTATGTGTTTTTCGTGTGGACCTTTAAATATGCTTTTCCTAACGACAGTGTAAATATTTCGAGAATAATTATTTCGATTGCGATTTTTTCATTTCGGAAGCATACATTTGTCGAATAAGATTAAAGGTGTAATATTTTGAAGTGTTCAAAAATTCATATTTTGTAAATGCCTTTAAGCATAGTAAATATTAAGCATAAATATTAATATAAATATTAAGCATAAATTAAAGTAAATGTACCAATAGTTAATCAGTTGAACTTACATAAATATAAATATTTAATATGAAATATACTATAAATATTTATATTTATATTATATATCCATATTTATAATATAAATATACTATCCGTATAACCTTAATCACTTAATTATTAGCACATTTACCTTAATCAGCTTCAGCACCAAAATCCCCCCTCAAACAGTACATTATCACCTTCCCAAGAGTCCCCAATCATTATTAACCCGTTGGCGTATTATTTTCTGTCACTACTACGCTCGTATACCATTTTACCATCGACAATTTGGAAGACCACTGTCACTACAAATTTACATTGAAGACAAACTGTTAACAGCAAAATAATTTCTGCTTTAATCCATGGACAATGAACAACACTGATTTTTATTAAATTAATCTAATAAAAATCATCATCACGAGTCTCACTCTTCGTATGACAGAGGGTTAAATCACTCGAACTGATTTCCACTCAACAAATCCATCGCATTAAATCCCGGGATGCCTTTCCCATCGATTAAAAAGAGATTCCCATCCACCCTTCTACCCTTATGAACTACATCTCCTAACATATATATTTATATACACCTATAAATCGTGTGAAACTGTGTCGAATCGGCAACAAACGAGTCTTGTACGTACTTAAAACAATCGATTTTATTGGCCTTTCCATTGTACAATAATAAATAATCGATTAGTAGAATGTTAAGGAGGGTTTCTGCGTGTTTTTAGTCGTGTAACTATAAACTTCTCTCGCCGGTGTAGAACTGAATCGAATTCTCTCTTTCCGTGTGTTACGTGTATATCGGCGAACGGGGTAACGGTGTACACTTACAAATAATCTATATTTATATTTATATACATATATATACATACATATGTATATATATATAAATGATACATATACATTTATGTATATATATATATGTATATATATCTAGTTATGTATATGTATATGTATATGCATATGTATAATATATAATGTTTACGATACACGTATATGCTTGTTTATAATGAACATCGACACTAAAAAAAAGAACGAACGAGTAAACGAGCTCTTCTTGTCCGCGTTTCACGCCGACGTATCGTTGTCATCGTATCATCGCTCAATGCTTCGTCACTGTCTACCTGGTTTGCTTTCGCGGTTCTCTCATAGATTCTTAGACGGCGTGCGCGAACGATCCATCGCGTATAAACCGGATCGTTCTTCTTCTTCCCCCTCCCTCCCGTTTATCTACGGATTTTTATGTACAACTGAATAAGGGAAGGAAATCGCGATGCGTCTCTCGCCGAGGAAGAAAACTTTTCTGGTCGGAAAAGAAACTTCCTCTTGTCGAAGCACCACCTTCGATATCTCTGCTCGCGAGTCGCGAATCTTCTACGGCCCGAAAAAACGTATGCGGATGCGTCTCGCTCGTTGATTTTGTAATAAATATGCACCGTTCGATGGTAATCTTTGTTTTTCTTTTGCATCCGTCATCCGCATCCGTATTTTTTTTTTGTTTCAGCTTAGCGTAGAAGACAATCGAGAAACAAGAACCGCGAAAACCGCTTCGACCCGTTTCACTTCTCGTTCTCTCGCGTCCTCGACGAAACGATCTCAATCTTTTGTTTCAGCACCACCTTCGCGCGCTCGCGGCATTGTTCCCTTTCACGCTCTCTTAATCCACTTCCCTGAAAGCGTGTTCCGTTCCTCGGAACCTCTGTCTCTTTGCTTTAAAACCTTTTTCCCTAAACGTCTCGTTTCACTCGCTCGTCTACTTTCAAAAAAACACGACGAGTTAGTAAGTACACAACTCCCCAGGCTCGCTCGAGACTTTTGATTAAAACGTCGGGCGGGGCGAGTGATTCGGGGGATACGGGGCGGGGAGATGGCAGGTTATGGGATTCCTTTTTAGAGGGGGCAACGAAAAAAAGCGAAAAAAAGAATGAAAACACGCACGGGGTCCTCGATGGCGCGCGATCGACAGAGAAACGCGGACTGAGACCGTTTGTAGTGGTTTGCCTGTAGTTTCTTCCAAAATATTGTGTTTCTGTGGCTTTCTCATATTGAAAATTATATTCTGAATCATTTTTATAGACACGTTATTCATAACTGAAAGTTAATTCCGAAGAAAAGGAAAATTTCTATGATTTTCTGGTTGTTTCAACTCTTTGTGTCCTGAAGGTACTTCGAAATACTACTTTATTTTGTAAAATATCACCCTTCGATTCACTTCGTTTAGAGTGAAGTACCGGTATTTCTGTTTTAATGACCGTATAGAAGTATTTTTGATATTCGTATGTATTCAAACAGTTTTGGGTATGGGAGATTTGAGAAACAAAGGAAGTAAGAGTAATTCTGGACACAAAGGGTTAAGAATGAAAATTTCTGTGTGCTTGTTCTTTTTTTATTGGAAGGATCTACGTCTCAGATTCGAACACGTTTCTCCGCCAGTCCCTAGAGGCTTATCCCGTCCATTCAATCGCGCTTCGTGTTAGCAATTGAACATGTATCTTTTATTCAATTCTTACTTTTGACGATGAGTTTGGCGGAGGTTTCTACGGTGCCGGCTGAGGTGGTAGCTCGGCAGGTGAAGGTGCCAGTGTCCTCTTCGTATGTTGTTGCTATGAGGAGGACGGCGTTGTTGCCCTCGTGTATCATCTAGAATTTAAAGGTTTTATTCGTTAATGAATATTCTGCTCGATTAATGATTTTCTGATTGTTTTAACGTTATAATAATCTGAGAAAAATTGTTATTTAACCTTTAACCGCTAAACAGTAGTCTCAGAGACTTCATGAGTATTTAAGTGATTGTAATTTCTTTTACAAATATTTTGTTTCATTTTAAAACTCAAATTTACGAATGATCTACCTTTTTACATTATAGAAATAAAGTTTGAATGTATGTGGTAAATTGATTTGAATGCTTAGTTACTAAAAAAAATGTTAACCTTTTATTATGCAAGGAGAGGAGAAGATTCAATTGAAATTGATAAAGCAATTAAGGTTTAAAACACGGTTTTAATTGAACCTACCTGGAAATCAGGTGACTGCGGGATCAAGGCACCTTCACGATACCATTGGATGGTCGGCTTTGGTTTAGCTGGTGTGACTTGGGTTTTGAATTGCGCCGGTTGCCCTTCCAGGACTATCTGGTCCTTCAAAGGTGTCAGTTTGGGCAAAGTGTCAGCTGCGTCGGGAGCTAATTGGAAATATTAAATATGTTTATTATATTAAGAATTTTTAAAGTGAAAAGTATTTGAAATCTTTTGATGCATTTATTTATAACAGTTTTGGTTTAACTAATGTACAAATAGCATTTAAATTGAAATATTGGAACGATGTATGTAAAATTGTCATTTTATATGGAAGATTTTAAATAAAAGAATCTAAATCTAATTATTTTCTTATCAATAGCCAGAAGTAATAGATTGGAAAAGTTTATACAAAGAATAATTTAATATAATTCCTATTTGTAAAATAAAAAATTACCAATCTTTCATATTACTTTTAATTTTCCATAATTTCAAAAATAATTTTACACCTGCTTGCAATCATTGTTCATATAAAATAGATTACAGTGTGCTCACCAAGAACTCTGAGATTAGCTGAAGTGGTCACATCGCCAGCTGGATTCTTAGCGATGCACTTGTAAACACCCTCGTCTTCGGGGAACGCTTCAGAGATCCTCAGAGTGCATAGTTCACCCTCCTTCTGCATTTGGAAGTACTTGGACGGCTTGATCACCTGTAATATTAAATATGTTTGTAAAAAATTTGTACTTTCAGATACTAGAGAATGAATAACCTAAGCAATATTACATAAATTAATTAGCAATTATTTAAACGAGGGCTAGATAGGAAATTAAACTACCCGTGTGTACTCATTCTTACGCTGAATGCTAAGGGCTGAGTGTGATTTTATACTTGGGACAGTATAATTATTTGTAGGAGAAAAAAACTGATTAAAACCAAAAGTACACACTTTCAGTAAGATAAAAGAAAACTTCCAATGGCAGGTGATAGTTTTTTGGAAGTTTCAGGAAACTTTGGAAATTCAACAGTAATTTTTTTTCTCTGAATAACATATTATGTACAATTCTTCGGGTTCGAGTAATTAATTGAAAGGAGCAAATAGAAATTATTCTATACATTCTTTTCTACAATACATGTATGTACACTTTTACAGTTGGGGATATAACTCATCAATGATCATTCTTTTACCGATTTTTACTACTTACGTAAATTTCATAGGTTCTAGTAACTCACTATTAAACAATATGTTGCCAGCGAAGCTGTTTAATGTTATTCGGCTCTTATTCTACCATCGGAATAATTGAATTAAAGATCGTAACAAATACATTTCACGTTTGACGATACCTGTTATTCTGAACATAACAAATTCCTTAGTAGACCAAATTAAATACGTGTCTCACTTTAATCTTTAGAAAATATAAATTCCCATGTATATCCATGATCTTCTTATATTTTAGACCGAATCAAATTATAATATGAAATACAGAAAGATAGTGAACCATATTTACGAATTATATTAAATAAAATATATACAGTATTATTAAAAAATATATTATAATAATATATTAAATAAAGAATATACAATATTATTAAATAATATATTATAAGAATATATTAAATAATATTTTAAATATTTAATAACGAAGAATAGAAATATTTAAAATATTTATTCAAAAGAATTATTGGATCATTTTAATTTATTTTATTATTTTAAAAAAATATAATTTCTTTAATTATTTATATACGAAATTATAATATTAAGATAAATACCTTGTCGCCCTTTTTCCATTGCACCGTTGGTACCGGTTTCCCAGAGATCCTGCACGCGAAAGCGACAGATGTTCCCTCTTTGATCGTTTGGTCTCTCAACGGCTCTACAACCGTTGGCGCCTTCTCGACGCCAGGAGTCGTCGGTTTCGCCATTTTCGTCGGGGACTGGGGTCCTCGCACCGTGCACTCGCCATCGCAACGCGCCTCCCCGGCGCTGTTTATCGCGACGCACTCGTATTTTCCTGAATCTTCCGGCACTGTCTCTAGGATCAGCAGCGTGTAAATATTGTCCTCCTCAAGTGTCTTGTAACGAATGTCCGCTGTTACTTTCTTGCCGTTCTGTAAACACGTGAATAGCCAAAAAGGTTCATTTATTGCTGAAGAGATTATTCATTATAATTAGACACTAAACAGTGCCAGGTAAATGTTTACATTTAAAATGGAATTGAATGTTTACGTAAACACGTTAGAGTATATTACAAAAAACATATAAAAATATTGTTTAAACAATTATGTGAAAAGAATGTATTTAGAAGCATGCATTAATTTCTTGGAAACGTGCATTATCTTTAGTGAAAGTATCAAAAGATACTTTTAACACTTCAACTTAGAATTATTTTACAAGTTTAAGTTTCCCTCTGTCGATTTCTAGACTTTCAACTATACTGATTGCAAAATTAATACATTCTGTTAAATCAATTTTATAATCATTATAGAAAAAATCAAAAAGTCAATGAAAGAAAAATAATTAAACTCGAAAAATAATCGTAAATCAAAAATTATGAAATGTGTTTTTTGATACCTTCAGAAAAATAAAATTTAAGAAACTCATAAGAAAAGATTATATAATTGTATTAAAAGATAACTAAATAAAAAAAGTCCATAAGGAAATAAATTACCTTTAACCAATAAACGTCCAGAGGTTTAGTTCCAGTCACTTTAGCGTCGAATCTAGCCAGTTGACCGGTAGTCACCGAGGTGTTCTGAATAGTCGACAGGAAACTTGGCGGTACCACTCCTCCTCTTCCGGGCTGTCTTCTGCGCTCCTCGACCACCAAGTTAGCGCTGCACTTCGCTTTTCCGCCTCTGTTCTCAGCGATCACGGAGAAGACACCGGAATCTTCCATAAACACTTGCCTCACGATCAATACGGATTTAGTGCTGAACGTGTAGATCTGAAGATCCGGCGAGTTTTGGATCGGGAAGTCCTCGCGGTACCATTTAATATTTGGCAACGGGTCGCCATCGAATTCGACTTCGAAGCGCGCTTGTTCTTGCTCGAAAGCTCTGCAAGGCTGAATCTTCTTCGTGAACACTGGAGGTTTAGCTGGTTTTACTGCGCCCTGGACAACGCGTTCTTGGGTCTTCGCCTTGTGCTCCATTTCGGTGGTTTCCGTGGCTGTGATCTTTCTGGTGATCTCTAGATCGCCTTTAAGCTCCTTCTGCGTTTGCTTCTGCTTGGCTACGTGCACCTCGCGACCATGCACTGTTGACTCCGATGGTTCCGGAGGGTACTTGCCGCTGCTCTTCGTGCGTTCGATATCTATGTCCACTTCCGTTGTGTGTGGTTTCTTCACGTACTTTGTTGTCTGCGTTGTTTCCTGGGTTGTCTCTTCCTTCTTGTCTTCCCTGAAGGAACCAGAGGATTTATTTGCGTTTTATAATCTGGTTTTTGTATCTGAGCTATTATGAGATGGTTAATTACACGATGAAAAGTAGAATTTAATGAAATTTACTGTGTAGAGAACCAATCTAGCGTTCTAACTTTAAAGTTCGGAATCGTTTATTCAAAGATGTTTTAACTCTACAAAACAAAAAGAGAATTTTGATCAAGTAACGTATGCATAATATGAAATGTTTTAACACTAAAATTTGCAAAGACGAACTAGGGAAGAATGCCGTGTTTGTTACAAATGTATAAAAATTCACAATCGACCAATATCAAAGACCGTTCAGTCAATAACCAAATAAGATACAAGATAAAAATAGAAAAGAAAGAAGGAATAAAAATTATTTTAGTTATTGAAATTTAAAGAATACTAATAACTATTAAAGCCTACGAATACGTACAAGGTTTCTTCGTATTTCTGTGCCATCCCCTTAGCCACGGAGTGGGCGACGATCTTCTCACCGGGAATGGCGAACTGGTGACTGGATTCTCTCAGTCTGCTCTCCTTCAGCACCTGTTCCTCTTCGAGGTTCATCAGCTTGTTGTAGTAATCCTCGTTCTTCTTGCTCTTCACGGATTTCTGCCATTCTGTCTCGGGCTCTTTGATCACTTTCTGACCAAGGTGCTCGGTGGCGATCTCGATACCCTGCGAGACGTTGTGATGCCTTTCGTCGAACACTCTCTCGAGCTCTGTGTTCTGTCGTTCCGTTTGGTATTGGGTCAGCCCGTAATCATACCAGGCTAGGGAAAAGACACGTTAGACTCCTCCCTTCTTACATTGTCACCGCGGAAGACAACGCATGCTAGACGAATATGAACCCGTTCAGGCTCGCAAACATTCAATCCATATCGCAGATGCGACGTTTCAGGATTTTAATTAATAACAGTTCTTTATTACTACTTATTGCTATTGTAATATCATTTCTTAAATTCAGTGTCCATTTTTCTTTGGTTTCGATTCATTCAATTTCAACGTTTCGATGTGCGTATAGATACTAAGTTTCATATTTTATTATCATATCAATCATCCTGGTAATTCGAATGTTTCTTTGTTTTTAATTAAAAAAATGCAGTGTTGGTTATATAAGAAATGTGCAATTAAAAAGCCGGTCAGCTTGCTTTTTCAATTTATTGATTCTACTTTATCATTTATGAGAATTCTGCTAAAGTGTTTGATTTAATGCTTTGAATCTGGAATCAAATGTTTCACTTGCAATTGATTGGATTTCATATATTACTTGAGAATCGTGGAACGTGACATCTTCGCAACAAGAAAATTTCTCTAGAACCACTGGGAAAATACGACACAGTACTTCATTGGCGATGCAACACATATCGACGTCTCCAGCACGTGGGGGACATGGTGTCCGGAAACCAAACTACGGAGACAGAGACATCCGGGCAGTTGGAGTTAGAGCACGTGGTTAACACGATTTCATTCCTTTTCTTACATTTTTTTTGTTCATCATTCCAACAGTAACACATCCATTATTCTCTGGAAGGGTTTCTAATTTCTAACATTTCAAGACTTGGCGATTGCGTGTCCGGAGTTCGAGTGCCACTTTAAACGCTAGAACTACCAAATACGTAGAAATTCATACATCAATTTTGAAAAATTTACTTTTCTGAGAAGTTCGTAGATAAAGTTATTTTACATAAGACTCATATTAAATAAAAGTTATTTTAAATAAGAGTTATTATAAACGAAAGTTATTTGAAATAAAAACACAAAATTTTATCTGCGTCTTTAAAATTAAAAGAGTATAAAAATTTGTTGAAGTTTCTGCTCGATAGTTTTATCGGTAAATTAACCAGACGACAGTTTCAATTAAAAAGAAACTTTCTCGTCGGTCGTTAATTAATTAAAATTATCGATCGTTCATAAGGATCGATCTCCGTCACACGAAACCCGCCCGAGGGAAGTATGGACAAAAGGGAACATAAATGTTCTAAAAAGAAAAAACAAAAAATAAGTAACAAAACTCCTTCAACTGACGGCGATTAGGTGCGATTAACGTAGACGCTAACACGACATGTACAGCACTCTGAGAAATACGGACTCTGCTCAACCATTTGCGCTAATTACGGATCAGATTGTAGTCAAGTGAACCCGAGGACTCGAAGAAACAATACATTAAATAAAATTTCAACAAAACAAGGCTGAGAGAGAACGAAGTTTCTTTTCTTTTCTGAAAGAAAAAAAAATATTAAGAATAACCATTAATTAGCAGCAAACCCGTTTTCTCCAGTGAATTAGGCGTCGAGCAACACGGAGGAAAACATTTCGAGGATTCCGAGATGCCATTCTAATTCCACGATTCATTGAACAGGACGAAACGATCGATTAAGACGAAGGAAATCCACGTTCTTCGTTAAGTATAATTACTTATACTTTTCCATGAAGAAAGAAAAAGGAAGAAAAAAATTCGACGAATTATTCTGATGAATTCTAATTAATTCGTCTGATCCTCGGGATTATTTTGAGCAGCACGAGTCACGTAATCAAAGTCAGAAATATTTTTCTCCGTGTAGATCGGGATTACATTAACGGAAAGAAAACAAAAAAGGAAAAAAAACAATGAAGAAACAATTAATAAATGAACGTGGTGTGGTTTCTCGATAGATTGTTCCATACCTGAGCGCCGCTTGTTTGCGAAACGGAGCAGTCGATACCTTTCGTCACGTTAGACGGCGTTTATTGCTCGACAGATTGCCCGTCGAATCCCGAAGAAGAAGGAAGAAGAAGAAGAAGAAGTAGAAGAAGAAGTAGAAGAAGAAGAAGAAGCTCTCTGCTATCTTTCGAATTCCTTCGTGACATTTCGTATTGGAGGAGACGGGATTTGGGGATGAAAGTTTGGTGTTTGGTTTTCGAATAATGGTCTCGAGTGTTATATCTGTGCCTCGAGTGGAATGCATGTGTCGTATCGATATTTTATGTACTGTGTTCACGGTTGTCGCGATCTACCGTTTACCATTCTCGATCGCTTACACTGGGAACAACCGCGTTTTCCTTTACATTTTCTTCTCTCGTGTGGTATTATTGTGCCGTTGTTCGATTACTGGCGGATTTTCATTTGTTCTTTGTATGTGCTTGCATCCTTTGTGCCGTGTGCAACTAACTTCATACTGTTTGACGACGTTCAACAAATTCTTAGCGCTTTTCTAGAGTACTCTCAACATTCGCTTACTGATTCTCGGAGATTTCGTTGAACTTAGACATTGTTTTTATTCGAAAATTTAATCTTACAGAAAGGAAATTTTTACGTTCATAAAATTGTCTGAATCCGAAAATTTTTGGAATTAAATTTCTTGCAAATTCAGATTGATACACAAATAGTTTTTTAATCAGAGAAATTCAGTGCACTAGAATTTACAACAGGTACCTGTTGAATGCTAGAATATGTTAAAGTAAGGTTAAAAATTTGTTGGACAATGTGAATTATGTGCCTTTTGTCGGTCTCATGTATAGAAATTGGAAAAGTTTAATGTGTGGTAGAATTATTTCAGATGGTGCGTTGAGATGTATTCGAAACACAAAGGATGCAAAACGACACGTTTATGTAAGAGAGTTTCTGTTGCAGGATAAACTTACGCCTTGGAGAGTTCTTCAACACTCCGCGATAATCGTCGCTCCTTGGTTTCACTGTCAACGTCGTTTCCGTGCGAGCTTCGCCGACCGAACTTCTGGCGATCACTTCGACCTTTCCGTGGTCGTATTGTCTTGTTTTTGGTATATCCAGGTGATACATGCCGTCGTAGGTGAGCTTGTAACGTGATCCCTAAATAAATTAATAAAATTTTAATGTGAAATATATAATTATACGATGTAATATGTAACATAAAATTTTATTAAATTATTCATTAATAATTTCTGTTTCTTATTTTAATTGAACCTATGAGTTAACAAAGATTTATTTATGAAAGTTTAACTCAAAAGATGAAATATAATAAAAGGAACAATTTATAAATGTTTGTATATGTAATTTTCTATTTCTTTTCAATAATAATAGTTAAAACTTACATTAACCACGGTGTGTCCGTTGATGATCCACATCACGCGTGGTCTAGGATGACCAGTAACACGACAGCAGAACCTGGACCAATCGCCTTCTTCGACAGTCACGGGTTCTGGTTTGCTGACGAATGTCGGCGGTGCTCGCACCTTTTCTTCTTCACCTTCTTCCTCAGGTACTCTACAACATTTATATATTTATAAAATTCATGTATTCAAACTTTAAAAATTTTCAAAATTATAATCAAAACTCTTTAAGCTTTTCTAAAATAAAGTAATTACAGAACAAATTATCATTCTACTTAAAATAATATTTTAAATTTCCTATTATGTCACATGTATTAACCCTTCATAAACGGCAATATATTTCACCATAAATATTCAGTATTCTCTGATGAAATATCGACGATATTTTTTCCAACTGACACAAAGAAAAATCCTGCATTAACAAAGGAACTGACCTATTTTATTCCAGTGTTGCATATATTACTCTATACAAAATTTAACATAGAATTGTAAATTTTATCTATTTTACTGTGTCGAATCAAATAGCAACTGACAGACGCTTCCAGAGTGCAAAAGGTTTAATATAATTTTTGCCAAAACTTAATAAAGTCTATCTACTATCGAAATACTCACATTTGCCATGCAGCTTCCATTTCTCTGATCTTCTCGATACTCTTCATGCCTTTAGGCAGCTGGGACTCGTAAATGATGCCAGGCTTTCCGGCAGTTCGGATCACGGCGCGCGTTTCGTCCATGCCGTAAAGGTTCGTCGCCCTGCAAAGATACTCTCCGCTGTCTTCTGGGTAGACCCAGCCGAAGTTCATTGCTACGTAGCCGAAATCGTAGATCGGCGTGAACCTGTTCTTCTGCGGCAGCGGTTTGCCGTTGAAGAACCATTCGACCTTCATATTCGGGTCGCCGACTGGCGCCAATTGGCACTCGAACTTCGTGCTGTTCATCTCGACCAACTCGGTTTGGTCTTGTATCTGGGTAACGAAACGTGGGGGTTGTTTCTTGTCCGCGTCGTATAGGTCGTCTTCCGTTAAATGAACTTCGGATGTGTATTTCTTGATGGTCGCTTCCATTTGCATCAACGCTTCCGATTTCTTCATGCCCTTTGGCACTTGATTTTGCAAAATGATGCTCGGTAGTCCTGACAAGCAGATTGGAGACGAATAAATGAGAGTGGACGGACGATGATATTATATCTATTGTTTTTAACGCAATGTTATTTGAAAGGCTCATTTTCCAAATCGAC